CTATCTCAAGGACCCGGCCAGATGAGGTTGATGGACGGATTACCTGTTGCCCAACCATCCGTGAAGAGCTGTCCCACGTGGGCGTGTATTTTTTTTTTTTTTTTTTTTTTTTTTTTTTTTTTTTTTTTTTTGGGAACGGAGCTCCGGAACCCTCTCCCTCTGTATTGTCTTCCAGGTCGATGGACATGGCTGAAGGCTAGCAGTTCCTGTACTCCCCCAGACCTGGGGCAATAAGGCTGGTATGGGATTGGCAGTGGAGCTCCCCCATGCCTCTGCTCTTCTTTTGCCCCTCAGAAGCTTCTATTTTTGCGTCAAGGTGAGACATCGGCGCTATATTGGCTGTAGTGCTGCCAGGCCAGGCTTCCAGACCATGGAGGCGGCAGAGAAGCTGGAAAAACTTGGAAATCTGGGCGAGGAGCCGAAGAGCTGAACGGCTGATGGACAAGGATATGCCGTGGCGCTGGGTCGAGATCATGACAGACCGTCCAGAACCAGAGTTGCTCAACGGACGCCACGGCCTCAACCAGACGAGCTTCAGGGCCTGGTTCCGGGTGAGACTGGCGGCGGCATGCGAGCAATTGCTCTCAACTGCTCCAACTACCCCAGGCCGGGTTGATTTGATCAGAGACATTTTGCTGCGTGGAGGCTGTGCTGAATGCGGCAATGCGCATGAGATTTGGGTGGCTGATGGCGGAGGGAGGTTTGACGTTATTGGCCTGAGGATTCGATGGTGGTGACGGCAGGTTAGTGGAAGGTTGATGGATTGGAACAGCGCACATGACTGCGGCTTTGTGGCTGTTGGTGGTCACCTTGGGAGAGAGGCTGCTCGCTATTGGGCATACAGCATCAATCTATCAAAGTTGATTGTTCAATGTCAACATACGAGTAGTTGCTACCTTATGCAAGTCCTATTTGATGGCTGGTATCTCCATGTTGTATTCACAGCTCTGGTCAGTGAATCACCTATCGAACATATGCAAGTCTACACGTGCCTGTACATTGCATCAAACAAACTCTCCGGTGACAAACGCTGATAAGAGCTGAGCCAAGGGTACCTATGTTTCCATTTGGAGCTGGGGCCGGCATGGGATCAATCTCATTCCGGCGTGATGCATCAATTCATTATTGTCATGGAACGACAAACGGAGACACCCGCCACCACCTTGCAGTACCTACTCGTAGCGTTACGCGCCCGAATCTCGTCTGCCGTGGCTCAGGACAAGGGTTGCTGCATAGGTACCTATACAAAGTGGCATTTGCATCATTACTCCGTGTCCTCGCACCTGTACGAAGCAGCGGCAGCGGCAGCAGACCATGGATGGCATCGACTTGCATGGATTAGTGGCCAATGTACGAGCACAGCAAGTAAGACAGGATAGATGCCATTTGCTGCTGCTGCTACAATACCGGGCTGTGATCTCTCCCTGGATAGAGATCCTGTGGCTGCCAAAAGTCTCAGCCTCTCTGGCCGGGCAATGGAACGGCAGCACGCGAGAATTCCGAGACCTTGTCTTGATTCCACGGCTCTGGGTCATCGTCATGGCTGATTGCCACTCTTTTGCGCCCAACGGTTTTAACCCATCCATGCTGAATTGTGTTATCAATCTGTCACCCCCTTAATGCTGTTGGCCTTTTAAACATCATATACAAACTGCATATAAATAAAATATTCTGCATGATACCGCCTGTTCAAGCATATTGCAAGGCCATCAATCCATTAATACACCATCATTTGACGGATAGGCACATACACGGAAGTACATGTAGATATCCACAGCAGCGAGTGGGCGCAGAATCCCACTAAAGCTGCCGGGTTACAGGGGTCTCGGTACCTGTACCAGCACCCCCCCAAGCTGCACCCCCCGCTACCTAATGTTCCTGTTTGGGCAATGCATTACCCATCGCTGGAGCTTCGCCCCGACTGCTCGAGTCTTGTGTGGCTTCCATTGCTTGCCTCGCCTTTTTTAAGCTTGCCGGATGCCCGCTCCTCTCTTAGTACCTTTCACTAGTTTCGTAGTTTGTGCCATCATATTGAACTCTTGTTTTTCTCCTCATTCTCCCATCTGCCTATATCCTTGATTCCTTCATCACAGGATTCGAGTCTCACTGTTAGTCGCTATCGATACTTGATCGAAGCTTGCATCTTCACCAATCACACAAACACAAACATCCGGCATTGAGAGCCCCACAGCCTCGTGGCAATATCAGTATCCAACATACCTGACCTGACTTTACTCCCGTCTCTTTTTCCAGCTTCACACATGGATCAGCTCCTCACCACTCTCTGGAGTAGAGGCGGCTGGTTCCGCGCATTTACACCTCCTTCACCTCTCGACGATGCTCCCCAGGCTCCCCCATCTCCCCAAGGAACTCCTATTCTCGACGTCCCATCCGATGTTCTGCTTCTCATCGGAGACTACCTCAATGATGCAGAACTCCTCAGTCTCAAGCTCGCCTGCCGGAGCACCTATGCTCTGTTTCCACAAACCTACAAGTCGCTGCCGCCATATCTGAAGAAGCGTTTCCTCCCCATCATCGAAAAAGACCCCTTGGGCAAGGGGACGGTCTATTGCCACGTTTGCAACAGGCTTCATCCTTTCAACGAGACGACGGGACCTCATTCTGGGCCTGAGCTCGGAGTTGACGGGAAAAGACTCAAGTGTATGAGCCGAGATCGATTCTCTCCAACCGGCAACCCCTTTTCGCTCAGCTACACCCATGCCAGGCTAGCCATGAACAGCCACCTATACGGGCCCGAATACGGCATCCCGCTGGCCAACCTGTGCACCGAGCAGAGCGAGCGTCGAGACCTGATGACGATACGGTGCTCGACGTCGGCCAAGATCATGGACGACGAGCTGTTCTTGCAGCGCACCTATGCCCTCACAGTGGCTGATGGAGATGTGGCCGAGTTCCGCAAGTGCACCGGCGCTCGCGACATCAAGCTGTGCGAGCACACCTCTCTGTTTCCCGCCTCATCGCCCTTCCGCCAGTCCATTCCCGAGCTGCTCAAGAAGCCCGCAGCTGGAGGCGATGGCCTCGTCCCATGCCGCGAGGCTCCGGGATCGTGTGGCTTGTGCCTGATGGACTATGACATCACGATCCAGCCTTGTGCGGACGAGCGCTCCAGCATCGTCATCCGAGCCATCCACCAGCTCGGATCTTGCCGCTCTCCGCGCGACTGGAAGTGGGCGAGGTTCAGCGAGAGCTACCGCATTCATATCTTCTACCCCAGCCGGCCCAATCGTCGCGGATCGGCCTACAGTCCCGGCTCCCTCCATAAACGATGGGACGATGACGAGAGGGAAGCCTGCGCCGTGCTGGGCGGAGAATCCGGCAGTGCGGTAATGGGCCTGCTTGGGTTGTCTGTGTTTAGCTAGAGGGAAGGGTCCTGTTCTCCATGGTTTTGGTTATGCGTGGCCGCTTTCGAACGATTGGATTGCGGCCATGGTGAGACAAAAGGCGTGTACTTGGCCTTGCACAGCCACTTGGGAAACGAATCCTGTCACACGGCAATTCGTTGTGCTTTTTTTTTCTGCATTGGGTCGGAGTTGGATCTTGGGCACAATTTTCTTTTCTTTTTTGTCTTGTACTGGGCGTATGATACGGAAATGGACACACACGGATTGGGCCGGAACAAAGGAATCTGAGACGTCACGATTTACGACACCACTCTTGTTTTTTTAATGTACGAGCGCGGCATTTGGGCACCTTTTATCTCTCTCCCGTTTCTAGTCGGCACTCTTTACAGATGGGATATCGGTGGATTTGTTCTTCTCTTGTTTCTTGTATTCAATCTGCCCTCACTCGTGTATTTGTATTATATCAATCTCTGTTCTTTCTCACCTTACTTCACAGTCTGGACACCAAAAGACGCATCTTCAATTCTCATCTCGAATACCAAATTGCAATACAAATCTACTTGGTTCGCTCTCAAAGGCTACCTACTCCATCCACCTCTTAGTCCCAATCCGGTGTACACTTGATATCATACCATGACAGATGGATGTTCTTGTAATGTCACCACACAGCCTCCCTGCTTCTCTCGCGCATAATCAATTGATCCCCATGGCCCAATCCGGCACACACCCCATTATTACCGCACCGACGGGATGGGTCAATCTGATTGATGCGGTGACACCCCTAGGATATGACTTCATAGGCGTGTTTCTTTCTTATATTGGACGATTTCTTTTGTTTTGATGCTGGGATACCCGAACTACGTCATATCCTGCGAGTTTGCAAAAGTGAACACAAATTTAATAATCATGCAACGCTCGTCTCTTCTTTAGGTTGGGCCAATGTTTTTCCGTGTTTCTTGTACGCACGTCGGATGTCGCTTGTGTGGTAGTGCAAGAGAGACAGGCAGAAGGGTATGACCGTTTTTCTTCCTGCTCGTGTGACTTGCCGGCGATATCCTTGCCGCATGAAAAGCCAGGCTACTGACCGAGTAGTGCGTACAGAAATCATACACGCCAGCAAAAGACACAGACTGATGAGATTCTTTTTTTTTTAAACTTGTTTTTTGGTTATTTTACCATGCCGTGAGTGAGATATTCAAGCAGTGAAGCTCAAATATCCACGCACCGACACACGTTGTAGTAAGGTTGTACATGCATACATATTCTAAACCGCTTTCTTTTTCCTCTCCTCTCTCGACCCTCCCTTTTTTGGGGTCCTCAAGGTACTGAATGCTTGCTATATCTCAATACACTTTTTGGAAAACCGTGATGAAATGAAATCCCCCTCCTAGTGACATGTTTTTGAAGAGTGAACAAGATGGTTGTATGGCGCGAGTAAACTGGGGGCGTTCGATTATACGTACGTTTGGGAGCAGCCCCAGTTACGTGGGTGAGTGTGTTTATGAGTTTGCGGAATAGTGGGTTGTGTAGTTGATGGTTTTTGCGTAGTTTTGCAGCGGTGCAAAAGGCAGCGGTAGAGGTGACAAAGGTATCAAAAAGTGATGGAAAAAAAAAAAACTCGTTCTTTTCCCCCGTTCTTTACAGCTTGCCAATGATGGCAGCGGCGTACTCGTGGGTCTTGGCCTTGCCGCCGAGATCACCAGTCAGAGCCTTGCCCTCAGCCAGGGTGTCGAAGATGGCCTTCTCGATCTTGTTGGCGTGGTCGTTGAGGCGCATGTGGCGCAGCATCATGATGGAGCTGAGCAGCAGAGCAGTGGGGTTGGCGAGGGCCTTGCCGGCAATGTCGGGGGCGGAACCGTGGACGGCCTCGAAGATGGAGCACTCGTCACCGATGTTGCCGGAGGGAGTCAGGCCGAGACCGCCGATGAGGCCGGCGCACATGTCGGACAGAATGTCTCCGTACAGGTTGGGCATGACCAGGACCTTGTCGTTGTAGGGAGTGGGGTCGGTGACCATCTTGAGGCAGGTGTTGTCGAGCAGCTCGGCGTCGAACTCGATGTTGGGGAAGTCCTTGGCGACACGCTCGGCAACGTTGACGAAGAGACCGTCGGACATCTTCATGATGGTGGCCTTGTGCACGACGCGGACCTTGGTGCGGCCGATGGACTCGGCGTGCTGGAAGGCGAATCGCAGGACACGCTCGGAAGCCTCCTCGGTGATGAGCTTGATGCTCTGGACAACACCGTCGACGACAACGTGCTCAATGCCAGAGTACTCGCCCTCGGTGTTCTCTCGGATCAGGACGGTGTCGACGCCGTCGTAGGGGGTCTTGAAGCCGGCGACGGATCGGCAAGGTCGCAGGTTGGCGAACAGGTTGAAGGTTCGTCGCAGAGTCAGGTTGAGGGAAACGTGGCCCTTGCCAACGGGGGTCTGTCAAGCGTGTCAGCACAATCTATCCATCTCCATCGCATTCCCAAGTATAGTTCCTGCACGTACAGCCAGAGGACCCTTGAGAGCAATCTTGTTCTTGTTAATGTTCTCAATGGCGGCGTCGGGGATGGCGGTCCTGCCGTCCTTGATGATGGGGTTGACGTCGACGGGCTCCCAAGCAATTGGGGTCTATGTCTCATTGTTAGCCATCGTTGGTGTCGCTTCTCTTGCAGGATCATTCTATCCTGACTTGGGGAATCATGTTTGTCGTACCTTGGCAGCGGAGAAGATGTCCTTGACGGACTGGGCAATCTCGGGACCGATACCGTCACCCTCGATCAAGCTGACGAGGAAGTTGCCCTATTCACATTCATTGTAAGCATCTTGTTCAGGACGGCTGCACCAGTTCCCAGCTCTGCGCCTTGAGTGAATTTTATTTCCCCCCACCCTCGATTTTTTGGTGACATGGGTGAGACGCAGCAAAAGTCGTCCAAAGAGGCCGCGGATTGGGGGGAAATGCGCATATTATGCGTCGAAAGGACGTACATTGGAGTCCTTGGTTCCCTCATACTTGGCAACACGCTCCTGGGAGTAGAATCGCTTGTTCTGGACCGCACGTTAGCCGATAACTCCCATCGAGGGCCTTCCGTTGCGCCGTTGCTTCATACCGAAACGGACCAGGTGGCGGCAGCGCGGGGAGCTGCTCGCAGGCAGTGCCTGGCAGGGTTGGAGAGAGAGCGAATGGCCAGCATTGTGACGATGATGTGCGTGTGTGTATCTGGAGTATATATGGGTTATCAGGGAGAGGAAGAGAGAGAGGGAAGAGAAAAGGTCGGCCGGTGGCACCCAAGGGGAATAAAAGAAAATGGAACCGGAATAAACATGGAACTTGGCCATCTGAAAGTTTTTTGGCTCGGGTCCGGCATGGGCGACTCTGAAAGCCGGCGATATGCACGCTTCAGCCTTGGTTGCTGCGCTGCGAGTGGCTCAATCGCGAGCTGAGTGGAGCGCACCAGCCACACGGCCTGTGGCGCGCCTGTGGAATTTCCCTCATTTCGACGCTACTTCCGCTCTGCCGCTTCGGTCAGGCGCCTCGGAGCCGGTCGGTTTGCGGGCTGCAGGCTCCGAGCTACGCCTAAATTGGTTGAGCTTTTTCGGGCGAGGCCGAGGCAGAAGTGTCGCAGGTTTTGATTGGATTTTTTATTTTATTTTATTTTAATTTTTTTTTTATTGCGCACGCTAGCGTCAAATGCCAGTGTCAATGCCGCATGACTTAGCAAGGAATCAAGATAAATTGAGGACTGGGAATGGAATCGGAACTGGCAGCGGGTGTGGCTGGTGGCCCCTGTGGCCTGTGGCTGATGAGGCCCCGACAGTTGGGCGCCGTTGCTGTGGCTGTATCTGTGGCTGTATCTGTGGCTGTATCTGTGGCTGTATCTGTGGCTGTATCTGTGGCTTGTTTGCAGCTGGCGTCTCTTGCAGTACGGGGTAGGTACCTCGACTACTGTACTCCGTACTGCTATACCTACATGATCTTGCATCCCATCTCATCTTGGTAGCGGCTGCGTGCTCGCATCCTGGAGCTGATATTGCTGCGAGCAAAGCAGTGGTCCTTGCAATACTCACCAAACACGCATCTCGACTCCCTCAAGACTTCCCCCAGCAATCTGCATCTCCGCATGCATGGGCTTGTTCTGTCATCCTTGATCCCGTCCCCAAGCTAAGCTCGCGAGCTTCATCCTCCCCCGCGATTGCGTCGACGCCGCAACAGACAACATGTCCGATTACGAGCGAACAATCCTCGAATTCTACCAGCTCCCCACCTCGTACCCCTCGGAATGGCCTGCGGAGAAAGATGACCACGACTCTTCCGGGGACGAAGCCGGCACGAAGAAGCACAGCCGCCAAAAGTCGCGATACCAGGCCCTCGAGGCGGCCACGGGCGATGGCAAGGCCGCGGTGGGAAAAGGAGCTGCCAACAACCACGTTCTAAAGGATGAACCAGACCCCTTGGGCACCACAGATAGCGTCGTCCGCTCGCTGAGAGAAATTGGCCTCCCGGCACAGGATGACGTGCGACTTCGTGAGTCTACCCTACCACCCCGAGTCTACCTCGGCAGGGGCTGATCGCATCTTGATAGGCAACCGGTTCATGCTGTCCTCGACTACCTTTTCGCCGACCCTGTTCTTGTCGCAGATACACGCTCACGCCGACACGCGCACGTTGCTTGAGGGCTTGGATACGCTCTCGCAGTCAATCGATCAAAAGTCGGCCTCCCTCAAGGTTCTCGTGGAGAGCAACTTTGAACGATTCGTCAAGGCAAAGGCAACGATAGACAATGTGTATAAAGAAATGAAGTACCGTGGGACTGAGGCCAACACCGGCAGATCTTCCATCCATGGTCGCCATTCCAGTCGAACGAGCTTGCGTTCTGGCAGAGCTGGCCTGAATAATCCCTTGGCTATGTCGTCCGATTCTCGAAAGAAGAACGCCTTGATTAAAGAGAGCGAATATGGTGTTTTGGGTATCAAAGTTCCCCTGCTGGACGTTTCTGCCAAAGCCGAAGATGTGTGGGGGCCAGCTCTAGGAGGTCGAGAAAAGGAGGAACACCTGAGGTCCTTTCAGAGATATGTACAACAGTTTAAAGATCCACTGGAGCTGAGCACCATAATATCCGACTGCATCAAGAGGAAAGACTACGAGACCTTGGTCGAGGCATACAACCGCGCCAGGAAGTTTGCCGACGATGCGCGCGAAGCATCAAAGTACATTGACCGCCAAATGCCAGAAGATGACCAGCTCTACCAGATCATGGTTGCGGCCCGGGTGTGGTATGACGTTGATCGCCAGATCCAAAGCTTCAAACGGGATGCATGGAAGAGATTGTCTACCTTGCATACACTGTCGAAATCCGAGAGTCATGTCGGCCGAGGTCCAGACCAGCACATGGACATGATTTCCCTGCTGCTGGAGCTTGGTGTCGAAGAGAATCCAATATGGGTGTGGCTAATGAGTCGATACGAGTACCTCAAGACCAAGATTCAATCAACAGCCGAGCACACAAAGGCCGAGATCGAAGTGCTTCGCCGAAGGCTAGCGGGTAGCGAGAAGCCTTCCAACAAGGTTGTAGCCACTCATCTACGTACATTGGGCCGACAGAGCATCGACAGCAAACCAACTTCGGGCGATTCGGCGGATGTCATTGAGTTGTGGGAGAAGATGCTTGCTTTTCTGACCGGCCTCATCTCTCCTCAAGGCATTCTTGGAGACCTCCTCGAATTCTGGCAGACTGCGCAAGGCTTTATTGAAGGCAGAATACAAAGGACGCTACCTACGGGCTACAATGATGAATCTCAGGGGCATCACCAGCTGACACCCAAAAATGTTACGGACCTTGAGAAGGGCATCGTGGAGCTGGTAGAGTTGCTGCGTGGACACGTACATGAGTTCTTCGCCGGGTTGCCCCCTGAAGATCTTAGTGTGGTCTTCTCGCCGCTCCCCGTCTCACCCAACTCACCGGCCTCAGCTGGCGGCTTTGGCCATTCCCTGAGCCCAACCTCTACGCGCGACCCTCGATTCAACTTTGATCCGAATAACCCGCCGCCATCGTCGCCAAAGAAGGGCGAGCCGTGGGAAAAGCTAGCGTTTTGGCCTCCTTGGTCGAATTCCATCAGCGGAGTGTACTACCTCTGCAGGATGCTGGCACTGGTCGGCTCAGGCGCCTCTGACCTCGCCACCATTGATCCCATTCGTTCGGGAAATGGCCAAGTCCTCGAGCAGCTGAAGGCCTTGACGGGTGTCTCCAGGGAGCGATGCGTGACGGCCCTGTGCGCTGCGTGGAACCGGGACGCCGAGAACATCAAGTTCATAGAAGATTGGCTACCGTCCGCCGAGTCTGGAGATGTCACTCGGATGCCTGCCAGCTTTGCCGCGTTCGAGGGTGCTCTTCTCACCGGCATGCAGAAGATTCTCTACATCTCCGAGGCCATGTCGAAGCCAGGTGCTGGTGACATTGTCTTGCCGCCGCCGGCCAAGCTGCTCCAGATGGTTCGGAGTCAGTATGTAACCACCTTGTACAAGGCTTTGAGCGGCATGGTGGAGAATGCAGAGCGATCAGTCAAGAAGACGGAAGACGAATGGTCTATTGGTCAGGATGGGGTCATCTCCAACATTGCTGCGTCGTCGGTGGGCAAGAGTACGCTTGATGCAGGAGACCGAGTAAGTCTTGAACGCCCCCTTTTTATCCCTTTTCTTTTTTCCATCTCGTCCCCAAACTAACACTGGCGCCAGAATGTCCGAATGCTCCTTACCCTGAGCAACCTGCAGGCTCTACGGTCACAAGTAGTCCCCAACCTGAACTCGCAGTTTGAGAATGCATTTTCCGTCAAGCTCACGGATGAATCCAAGACTATCAAGGACGTGCTCGGCCAAATCGACGCTCGCCTCTTCCAGTCCTACACTAAACAGGCTACTGAGAAGCTGCGTGAAATCATCCACTCTGGCCTCGCGGACCATGACTGGGCACCAGCGCAGGGCGAACGGCCTCAGACAGCGAAGCCATACGTGTACGAGACGCTTCTGACTCTTGTGCTCGTCCACTCCCAGGTTTCCACTACGGCTGCCTCACTTACGCCTCAGGTTCTTTCGTTCCTGCTTGAGCAGACGTCTCTGCAGCTGCTGGATGCGTTCCGCAAACGCGCTCGCTATTCTCTCAGCGCCCTCATCCAAGCTACACTCGACGTCGAGTTTATTGCCCAGACGCTGAGCCACTACACCACCGACAAGGCCTCGGAGCTGCAGGGCCAGATCTACCAGGAGCTGGACAGCCGCACGGATAACGATGCCCGCGCACGGCTGCAGAACGAACTCCCTGAGATGCGCAACGTGCTCAAGAAGCTCAGGGAGGCGAGCAAGAACCAATTCGCTTGCTTTAGGAAGCCGAAGCGCTCGGGGCAGGGCGTTTCAAGGGTGGATAGTGGAAGCATGTCGCCTACCTAGAAGGTTCGGGTTCATGGATAGGGGGTAGATGCATAAAAGGTTATAGGAGACATCGTAGAGATGTTCAAGTATTAATGATGAGTTGGAAATTTCACGCATATGAAGGGGGAAGAGTATAAGTTGTCTAATATCATATTGTTCTCCCCTTATTGTGAACTCGGTGGCTAAACCGCCCTCAAATGGTTTCGATAAATCAGCGCGCGTGGGCGTCTTGCAAACGCCAGTATTGCGCCATCGCTCTATGTAATTTTTGAATAAAAATAAAACACAAAGGAAAAAAAAAAGAAGAAAACAATCTCTCCCCACCCATACAAAAGGGAGAGAGAAAAAAGTAATCCGAGCAGGCCAAATCTATCATGCTTTTTTTGTGCCTCGCTTTTTGTAAAAGCCCGATATAAAACCGCGGGGGGAGGACCAGAAACAAACGCCGAGTTCATGCGAAAGAGTTTTGTTTCAGAGACAAAAGAAAAAGGGAATGGAAAAGTAAAGTAGAAGTTTTTGCCCCCTTTGGTTTCCTCCGTAATCGTGAATGCGTTTTCGTCTAAGTGGTGCTTTTGTACTTTTTGTTCCCACCTGCCAACCAAGTCTAAAAAGCGCGCCTCTCCTTTTTTTTTCTCTCAAAAAAAAGTAAGTAAAGAAATCCTCTCTGTGCCAGTGAGGCAAAAGTCAGTTTAGTCATCTAAATGGAAGAATCACAGATTGTTTTGGTAATTAGAGTGATGAAAAATAATGGTAAAAGAAAAAGAAGAAGTTTGCGCAAGGTCGTAGTCTCATGTCTCGTAAGTTTTTTTTTAGGCCGGGAGGTTGGGAAGTAAAAGGTGGGAGCAAAACGCCAGCTCGAGGGAACGGGAGTCGGCAGGGGAGAATTGTGATGCCTTTTGGCGGGCTTCAATGGTGTCGACTGTAGGTAGTATGGTTAGCATATGAAGCGGCAAAATTTGAGTTGACTTGGAGAAGGAGGAGGAGGGCTTACAATCAAGATCAAGAGTCTGAAAGTATTCCGTGATTTCCGGGTCTTTGTCTTGAACTGTCAATTTCCCATCCAGGCCCCTCAGGGTTTGGGGCAGCGCCTTGCGAATAGACAAGAGCATCTTCAGCAGCCCGGCTAAACTGCCGCCCTGCTGGGTGAAGACACTTGGGTCTCGCTCAAGGGGCCAGCCCGGGCGGAGATGGTCCTGCTCCCAAGCCTTGAACGCCCAGGTGGACTTTTCCACACAGTTGAGGAAGATGATGGCGGTGAGGTAAATCTTGAATCCGACCTTTGTCTTGCTGTCAGTGAGCAGCCTGTCCATGTGGTTCAGCAGGCTTTTCGAGGTGCTGTTAGCCTTTCGTTCAGCGGCGGCGTTGAGCTGCATGCAGATCATGGTGTAAATGTCTGCGTCGTTTTCGTTTTGTGCCTCTTTTATCCATCTCGGCTCTTCTCCCTCAGTACTTGGCTTCTCCAGGATCGTCCACTGCCGTTCGCGGTCGATGCTCTCGACGAGACCCCATAGCTCCAAGGCCTTCCTGAGAAGGTCGTCTTCTCCCTTTGAGAGCTGGTTGCATGCAGCTTCGAGCGTCACTTTCATAAATTTTGACGGCTCGCGCTCAATAAAGGTATTCAGCACATCGCGCATGTACGACTCGGCCTTGGCCGGGATATCCTCCGAATCCTGGTCAATCATGATGACCTGGTGAAACGGGGTCTTGTCTCCACGAGCCTCCGCCTGTGTTTCGCTTGGCTCCAGTGGATAAACCAGGGCTCCAAAGACAATCTTTTTGCCTGCCTCTGGAAAGTGGGATACTTCAATCAAGCTTCCATCGTTGGTGAGCTTGAGCTGATCTTTGATGAGGTTGATACGGTTTTGAGATAGGACGACCTGAACGCCAGCAGCATATAGGTCGAGCTGTTCATGTAGACGAGTGCGGACACAGCCAGTCCTCCAGACACGGGGTGCCAGAACCTTGCGGCACGTATCGCAGGGCGTTCCTTTGCCACAGTTTTTCCTCAGGATCCGGCATCGAATACAAGCGCCTATCTTGCGGACTTCTTGAACCTCCTTGCGTCTGGCAGGAGTAAATCTCGACCGTGCGTGACGGGCTCTACCGTTGATGAGCCCGTCGCTTGTGTCCATTCGAACACCACCGCGGCTCATCAGAGGCAGTGCTGGCGAATTCTCCGTGAGCAACGGAATAGGGGTAGTAGTGGCCAAGTATGTCATTTCGCCCCACGGCTGGGAAACGTTCGTATCGGAGAGGGTGGTTGGTAGGGAGGTGGGTAGAGTGGTGGGCAAGGAGGTTGGCACTGGATCGATGGGTGCCTGCGCCTCTACGGTTGGAGGTGATGAAGTCGGCGGTGGGATGTCGGTGTTGACAAGCTGGGGGTCGAGAAAGGACGGATTCAAGCGGGCCGTGGCAGCAACGGCGACGGAGATGTTGGATGGATCTGGCGACGTTTCGCTGGCGGGGAGGAGAGCCTGAAGACGTTCTTCTGGCGAAAGCTCAGGAGTCGGTGACGGCACCTGCACGACAGCGTTGCCAGCAAAAGCTGCCAGGTCAGCCCCCACACCCGGCGTCGAGCGAGAAGGGGACTGCTGTAGGCCTTTCTTAAGGCTGGTGCCTGTCTGCGGACGGCTGTCATAGGTAGCGGGAGGGTTCTCCAATGTGAATTGCTCCTGCAGCTCCAGACGATCTGGCACAAAGCCGCCGCCATTGATAGCAGCAGCAGCAGCAGCAGGATTAGGGGTCTCGGACGCCTTCTGGCCGCGATTGTTTTCATTCAGATCGACCTGGCGCGATGCCTCGGCGAGAGTCTCGAGGGCACTCCATCCCTGCGGCAGCGCGAGCTGGGCGGTGGGCTGGCCATTGACCTGGGCCCCGCCCTGAGGACGGTCGATGGCAGCTCTGGCGGTGGTGATGCCGTGAAGCTCGAGGCAGGCTCGCATGCGGTCCGAGTCGGAGATGGCTGGGCACTTCTTGGTGATGTGCGTCGTCAGGCTGTCGATACGGCCCTTGGGGAAGTTCTCGCCGCACTGCTTGCACGTGTGCGGATAACGGTTGCTGTTGTCGTTGAGCTTCGGCCCGCGGACGAAATACTCGAGGATGAGGGGATTCGGCTTGCGACCCATTGCGCACGACGGGCCTCGATTGGGGGCGCCCGGCTCGCGGTGTGATGCGCACAAAGGGCCTGGCGACTCGATTCCGCCCGTTGGCTGTGAATCCAAGCTCTCCGTGACGAGGCAGCTCGGACGATGCTTTTGTCTGGCTGGTGGCAGAAAAGGCGGAATACAGCAGCAGTACGGGTTCAGACGTGGGCCTAATGGATTCTGCCCGCGTTATCGACAAAATATTCAGACCGCCTGGTCGGTGGCAAGCGGTATGCAGGGAAAAAAAGAGGGACTCTGAGGGCAAACACGCGCCTACATGTCCGCAATATGGGCGTGCAGAGCCTCAGCATTTGGGAGCGGCGATGATGTGGGATGATATTGTCATTGTGTGTGGATAGTTTATGAGGGACCGCTTTTTTGTGCACGCCGCTAAGGTTAGGCTACCGGCGGTATGTTAATCCGACCACGCGACAAGATTGGCTGAAATTCTCCGATCCGACGATTTCGATTCTCAAGCCCTGAAGAACAACCCCCCACATTGTTGTGCCTGTTTGGCCTGCGTGTGCAGTGCATGTGAAGAGAGAGAGAGCCAATCACGAGATATCTCCGTACTTCGTGGGTTCTGCTTGGTTGGTGCTTGATGTTGTTTTTTTCGTCTGATGCTGCTCGTTTCAAGCACTGGGAATCGATACACCCCGCTTCTACTGAAGAATGCCATCAGATGGATCACCGAGACGCCGACGAGAACAGACGAAGCGGGCAAATCACGATTCACAACATCCCCAAGACTCGACTCGACTCGACTCGACTCGACTCACACGGCGTTCCTGGGCCTAACTTGTTTAGGGTCTACACCACGAGAACAAAAAAAGTGCCTCGAGATGAGAATCCTACCTCATGCAGTGTTAGTCTTGGTCGTGATGCTACCTGTTGAGCCATCCCAAGTCATGCGACACGTTTGTACACTCACTTACAGGCTTCATCCTGGGTGGCGCGTGCTCTTTTGATGCCCTTTTGTCGAAGCGGCGCCAAATCTAATTTCCAGCATGAGTACTACTTCGTACGACTTATTGCCGTGTCTTGGATGCTCCGAGACAGAGACTCGGCGTCCTTTCTCCCGACCTGGCATCCCCCTTGCTTGTGTAAAAGCGCGCATCTGCATGTTTTCCCCGATTATCTCAAGATTCAACTGATAATCATGTTGTGCCACATCGGCACTCGACTGCCCTTCTCCTCACAGATCTCCGGCCTTTTCCACTAGCGTTTTGCCTATTCCAGCACAAACCTGCCCCTCTGGACCATTCACATGGCATGCACATCCCACGTTGTCTCTCAGTCGTCGCCCACTTACGATGATCCAACAAAACAGGAACGTGACTGTGTTCGGGATGCCTGTTGCAACCACGCCATTGCAGCTTCTCGTGCGGAGAAATGCATCGCCGTGTTGCTTTCCGCTTTCCGCCCTTGGGCACTTTGTCTCAGTAGGGGGGTAGGATCCATGGATCCATGGTCCGAGGGTTGCATATAAGTCTGGTAGGATGGACGGCCGCAGCGGCTCGTTATTGCGAGTATGTTGTGTGCTTCTATTGGGCTGTCCATATTCGTAGTCGCAATGTATTCTTCATTATTATTATTACCTTTGATCCCGTCGTTGGTCAACTCAGCTGCGATTCGTTCCGCTGACTTGGCTGGCTATGTGTTGACCAGTGTAAGTGAACAATTCGAATACGCAACTCACCTCCAACTGAACCAATCTGACTCTCTACAGACGGGGACTGTCAATGGCGGAAACACTTTCCCCGGTGTTTCTCGACCACTGGGCATGGTGAAGCTTGGTCCTGATCTGTACTCGGGCACCGATGCTTACTCTGGCTATCTTTCCAATGGCAACTTCACGGGCTTCACGATGCTCCATGAGAGCGGCACTGGAGGCGCGCCGAAGTACGGCGTCATTTCTCAGATGCCAGTTGTTGGAACTGTCGCGAACCCTCTGAGCGACGCCATCAATGACACTCGTGCCGCACCTGATTTTACCGAGATTGGCTACTACAAAGCAAGTCTTGGCTCTGGAACTGTCTTGGAATTGGCGGCTACCAACAAGGCTGGCATGTTTCAGTACACATTCCCTAGCGTTGGCAAGGATCTCAATGTGCTTGTTGACGTGTCTCATGTCTTGTCGTCCTACCGTGGCCAAGGGCTGGAGCAGCATTTCTTAGGAGGTGGCATTAATGTCCAGCAAGACACCAAGCCCGGATATTATTATTATACCGGCAACGGAACTTACAATAATGTAAGCCAAGATAGTATCCTTTTGACAGCTCTGAGCACTATGCTGAAATGCTATGCTGAAATGAATGCAGGGATGGAACAGAGCTGGCCCGTGGACGGTTTACTTCTGTGGATATTTCGATGCTCCAGCTTCTTACAAAACATTCATTGGAACGAGCCTAAACTCGTCAACCTTGTCTGAATTTTCCAACAAGACAAGCTACAGCTCCCAAACAGCAAGGCTCGGAGCCCTCCTCACATTCCAGCAGCAATCTGTCATCTCCAGGGTTGGAGTTTCGTTCGTCTCCGAGACGCAAGCCTGTGCCAACGTCAAAGCCGAGATTCCCCAGGGGACCAGTCTCGCGACTGTCCGCCAAGGAACTCGAGATGCCTGGAACTCTCAAGTCTTACAAAAGGTGACAACAACCGAAACTAACGTCACCAAGCTGAACCAGCTTTACTCAGCTCTGTATTTCATGCATCTACTCCCGACAAACAAGACTGGAGAAAATCCTCTCTGGACCTCTAGTGAGCCTTACTACGATGATATCTTCACCTTTTGGGACACTGTAAGCTGCACGACCATATTGAAAACGGACTGTGATTAACCGTCTTGACAGCATCGATGCACAACTTCGCTACTCCACGTCCTTCAGCCGGCATACCATGAAGAGCTTCTCAGATCCATGGTGGACATTTACCGCCATGAAGGCTATGTTTCGGATGCTCGCTCTTCATTCTGGAATGGCGCCGTCCAAGGAGGCTCCAACAGCGACAACGTCTTTGCCGATGCGTTTGTCAAGGGTGTCCGTGGCAAAGTCGACTGGGAAGGCGCCTACGCTTCCATGGTGAAGAATGCTGAAGTCGTTCCACCTAACAACAAGGACCCACGAGATCCTACGGGCTCAACCAAGGAGGGAAGAGGTGCTCTGTCGGATTGGCTGAAATATGGCTACATCACTCCTTCGTTTGGACGGTCTGTTAGCAGAGCTGTTGAGTAGTAAGTTAATCCGCTTATAGCATTCAAGCTGCGTGTCTAATTTCTCTGACAGCTCGGTTAATGACTTTTCGTTGGCTACCGTTGCCAACGGCCTTGGACTTCAGAATGACTTTCAAAAATATCTCAGCAGATCACACAATTGGCGTAATCATTGGAACACTAACATGACTGCTCTCGGATTCTCGGGCTTCCTTGGCCCGAGAAACACCAGCGGCTTCATCTCTCAAAATCCAATCTCCTGCGGTGGCTGCTACTGGGCAGATTACTACTACCAGGCTCTCCCGTGGGAATACTCCTTCAATGCCCACCACGACTTGGACACCATTGTTCAGTACTCTGGCGGAGCAGATACCTTTGTGCAGCGCCTCGAGATGACCTTCCAACCCGGCGTCTACTCCGGCAACAGCGCCTTTGGCAGCACAATCTTCAATCCCGGAAACGAGCCCAGTTTCGCCACTCCATATCTGTACAATTTCGTCAACAGACAAGACCTCGCCGTCAAACGAAGTCGCTTCATCGCCAAATCGTACTACAAGCCCACGCCAGGTGGCCTACCCGGAAACAGCGACGCCGGAGCCATGGAGTCGTGGCTATTGTGGAATATGATCGGCCTGTATCCCATGACGGGCCAGACGACCTTCCTCATCGGATCTCCCTGGTTCACCGACCTGACCATCTCCCTAGGCGGTGGCAAAACGCTCAAGATCACCACCACCGGCGGCAGCGAAGATGTGTACTATGTTCAGTCGCTCAAGGTCAACGGCAAGGCGTGGAATAAGAGCTGGGTGAGCTGGTACGACATCTTTGCCAACGGAGGAACGCTCGACTTTGTGCTTGGTAGCTCGCCCGCGAACTGGACGACTGGTCCGACACCGCCGAGTCCTGGGAGTGCGAGCGCGGCGAATGCGAGGAAGATATTGATTGACATGTCCAAGGCGAGCTAAGTCTTGATGTTGTAAATACAGAATAAAGAAGAGGAGGAGGAATATCAAATAGATATAGTACATAGGCAGCAGTAGTATATTGAAAAATTGGTAGCTATACGCTTTAACCTATGCCTCTCTTGTCCATATAATTGAGCAAAACACGCATCTGGTAGGAGGCGCAGAAAGAGAAAAATTGAAAACAAAAAGAGCAAGCTGAATAGTGATAGTTGAATGAATAGCGGCTGGTATATAATGAGTACATATCCGCATACATCAAGAAGAAGAAAAAAAATCTGGTATTTCCCCCCTCCCTAATTTCCGACACCCAAAGAACGCCTCGCTATGCCTGTCTGGTCCAGGGTAGACACATAGATCTGAAACTCTTCTAGCAGTTATTTTTCTTTTCTTTTTTCCATAGCAGCAGCAAAACAAAACCAACTAAAGGCGCTTACTTATCGCCATCCCAAACGTTGCGGAATTCGTCAGAGTCTGCAACTTGATAACTGGGTGTATGGTCGTGATCGTGATCGTGTACGTGGTCATGTACGTGACCGTGTATGTCGTCGTGTTCAGTAGAGGCCCACGGGTAGCCCTCTTCTATGGCGGGACTCTGGTTGCCATCGTAGCTTGGTGCTGCTCCAGCACTGCTCTGGTCTTCTTGATGAGATTTTGCATCAGATGGACTGGGTTCTGTGCGCTGTACAGCCTTCTTTGCCTTCTTCTTCTTTTTGATAACAACCACTGGCGGCGGCTGCTCTGATTCGGTGTGCTGGTCCTGTTGGTGCAATGAATTGGCTGAGTTGCTACGTGACGGTGTAGGGGCGTGAGATGGTGAAGAGTAGAGCCTGGTTTCTGAGTTGCTTGCCCAGGAGGCATAGCGCTCCCTGAGCGGCTCGCTCGCAGTAATGACTGGGTACTATTCGCGCAGTGTAAGCATGGGCATATGAACAGTTTGGAAACGGACTGACAACTTACATTCCAATCCCCAAATTCGAGCTGCCGGGCGTTGTCGTACAGATGCTCGTCATCGGCATCAATTTCAGGCTCCTCAAATGTGCCATGTGCATTCTCATTCAACTGATCAGGGCGAGTGGAACTGGACGACCCATTGCCCAGCAACGGCGACGTCGAATTCACTTCGCCCGGTTTGGGAATCCAGTATTTCCCTTTGCCTCCGCGTTCATACCGCATCCCTTCTCTCAATCTAGCAGTTCTTGACCTGGAGTCTTCATGCGCCATGATCCTGTCTCCAGAGTCGAAGATTCGGTACCCGTAATTGTCCCCCCTAAACGTCTCCTTGGAATCCTCAATGAGATCTTTGACTCCAAATGCGTCGCGGAAGGCATAGTTGAGTGGCATACGGGCCGACTGGATGCGGTTGTCGGCAAAATCATGCCAAGAAAAGGCATACCAATGGGCGACGGCGAAAATGGGCATTTCCACGCAGATTAGAGCGTCTTGGATAGCCGCAGCAAGGTTGTCGCGGGTGTAGCCTTGGACGTCATCAGGGATGACGTCGAGCCAAACTAGAATCGATAGGAAGAATCCCTGCCAATAGGAAGCAAAGATGATAAGCTTGATACACAAGAACTTGGGGACCGGCCGAAACGGTACCAGGTCTCGGTGCATGCAAACCCAAAACAGTCCAAGAGAGTACAGACTGACTGTGACACTGATGTTGTAGATGATACCGCTCCAGAAATAGCCGGATTTAGCTCCAATGTATCCCTCCTGATAGGTACCTGTAGCCTTCATGATGATGGCTGCGAGAGCCAGGATGGGCTTGAGCCATGCATACTGAAGGATGCCCCGCTTGATGGCCAAGAAGGTATACGGGTCTGAGATATCCACCTTGGGCAGTAAATGGTTCATGGGCCACAGATGATGGACTGGCGCCCGACCGTGGGTGTTGATGATGACTGCTCGCTCTCCACCCATGTAGTTGATAAGAAGCTGGAAGAAGGTGTAGATGGTAAACGCTTCGTAGATGTCTCGGATCGGGTCCACGAAGGAGGCGGCCTTTAAGGAAACCATGCTCGTCCACGACGCGATCGAGTAGATGGGCACCATGAGGAGAATGCGGACGACATAGCGCTGCAGCAGCGGCTTGCGATAGTTCTTTGCTTGGAGTAATATTGAGCTGTCGAGGCTGGTCAGCAAGCTGCGCGGCCAGGAGAAGAGCACAGATGGCTTACATCACCGATAGCACCGTAGCTACTATAGAAGCGACACCTGCTACTATGGTGGTGGCGGTGGTGAACTTCTGGCCGGTGCCATGATCAGGCATGATGGCCACGACGCGACCCTCTAGAGATCGGGGGAGAGACTCTGGATAAAGCGCTGGGAGGAGAGAAGAGCTGGAGATTAGCTCATGGCTTTGCTGAGCTGGATTTAACCAAAGTCTGAAGTTTGCTGTCGAGGCACAACACACAGCACTCGGAGCGATCAAGACAAGCTCCGTGGCTATGGAGGAGGAAGAAAAGACGAGGTGTGACGAAGCTCACAAGATCAGATCGACTGGTCATGGCCTCCCCCAAACCAGGCGTCGCGGCCGGAGCTTGGACCCGGGGGATGTACCCGCCCACCAGCGCGTGGCGCGGAAATACATCCAGATGATGTACCGAGCATGTGCTGCGTGCTTACAGTAGCTCGTGCATTAAAGCTCCACTGGCCGCTAGTGGATGGTCCCTGCTGAAAAGGGCAATTTAGCGGGTAGCTCCAGTGCTCCGTAGGGGGTAACCGCAGTGGATGCCCATCCCAATTCCACCTGGACCTTGAACTCCATCCAGTTGATCTGATCTTCCATCACCCACAGCAGAGCCTCGAAGCGCCTTGTCGAAGCGCACCGCCTCTATACCGCAGCTTCGGAGCCATGCAGAAGAGCATTTCCCCGGCATTGAGCATCAACCGCCGCCTCTCGCGATAACCCCCGACATTCGGACAGCGGCGGCCACGGACAATGCTATTGGATCTCCGGCGGGCGTGGGGAAGCTCTGCGAAGGTGTCGTCGAGATGGAACGTCTGGTGATCCCGGATATCGGACCTGGCCAGCCGCGGCCGGGCTTCAATTAGTGAGTTACACTGGCCATGGACGTACCCGGTTGTGAAACTAATCAGTGTCTCCATCCAGTGAGTTTCTCATCTTCATCATTTTGTCCGCGATCCTCGCCATATTCTTCCTGCTCTACTTCAACCGAGTGTTTGGCTCCATCGTGTCCTATGGCATTAGGACCTGGACTTGGCATCGATACCGCATATATCTTGACATCCAGGCGCTTCAGGTCTCTCTTTTAGCCGGGCGAATATTTTTTATGGGCTTGCGATATCACGGTTCCAACGAATCGTTTTTGGTACAGCATGGAGACATCACATGGCGATATTGGTTGCGCCGTGTAAGAGAGGCCGACATATTCGTGTCGAAAGCGGAGGACAATGTGGCATCGGCAAGAGAAAAGAATTCCAATTTGCCATGCCGCATAAACGTAAATCTTGTCGGTCTTGAGTGGTTTGTCTACAACCGCAGCCCGGCATACGACTCGGTTCTCGCCGGTATCATCGACCCAACTTCATCTGGCGCAAGCTCAAGCACCGGGGCGTTTGATGAAAAGGGCGACGCAGGCTTGCGATCGCGAAATACGACCCATGAGGACTCCTCCGAACGAGCTCCCATGTCTCGGGAGAAGGGCAACGGGCCGCTGAATGGAAACGCAAGTCGACCTAGCACTGGCTCGAATAGCGATAGTAGCGACGAAAGCGAACAAGACAAAAACGAAGAGCTGCCCTTTATCCTCAAACTATTTCCTATCCAAATAGAATGCGAGAAAGCCGCAGCAGTGTTCGGAAATGACAATACAAAGGCAATTCTTATCGTGAAAGCCGATACCCTCTCTGGAGATGTCGATGCTACAGAGACAAAGACTGTCGACCAGTATCGACAAGTATTCAAGTTCGAATTGGAGCATCCCGTGATGGAAATGCTGGACAACCTGGACTATAAGGAAGACCAGGCAACACGTGCTAAACGAGAACGGGACAGCGTGCCTCAAGAACCACAGCATGTCCCAAGGAAGTCGTATTTCCGCCAGCAAAGGCGCAAGGCGCTTAGTTCCCTGCGAAACTTGGTGCCGTACTGGCGGAGGTCTGTCGAGTCATTCTCAAGCGACGCCCGAGCTGGCGGGGGAGTTGTGCCGACTCACGTCCCTGGAGTTGTCCAATGGCAGGGTCTATCACGGTATCTTGACGATCAGGACATAGATGATAAGACTCGCTGGGCCCCCGTTGAGTATGCTGCTGTTTCGACCATTCTTGATAGCCCTTTATGCCAGTTGACTATATTCTGGGATGCCGTCAGCAAGGTCACTGAAGAAGCTCATCGCCAAAGGCAATTGGACCCGTCCTTGAACATCAACGGATCTGAACCACCGGCCTGGGGAGTGCAGTTGTCGGTGAAAGGGGGAACAATGAATTATGGGCCGTGGGCCGATAGGCAAAGGGCTGATCTACAACGTGTTTTTGTGCCCTCCTTGTCTAAAGATGGCAGTGCTACCGGGCCTCTTCCAGTTGGCGCATGGAGAGTACCTACCCAGTTTGACCTGCTGGTAGAATTGGAAGACACAGTCACGTTGCGCATCCCTATAAGGGAAGAGTCCAAGAATTGGCGTTGGCGTGGCAAAGAGCACATGGTTAAGCAGGATACGACTCGCAATACGCGCAAGCATCGGCCCAGGGGCAAGAAGAATTCCAAAAGCGAAGCAGTCCAGCCTCGCCCTGCCGGATGGCTCGAATTCAAGCTTCCTCAAAACTCCACCATCAGGTATTACATGGACATGGTTGCGAATTCGGCTGGGTATAAAAACAAGTGCAACATTCACTTGCCGACTTCTGAGCTGCGGAGCAGTGTCAATCACGATGTACTCTGGCGATCTGGTGCTCTGAAAGTCTCATGCGATCTATCAACTCCTCTCTCGTGGAACACGCTACGTAATTGGCATTTCAACCTGACCTTTGATGGCATGGAT